TGCCCCTTTCCATCTGAATACTTCCTAAAAGTCTGCTAAAACCAGGATATTCTCTTATACCCAAAAAATTAACATTTATAATAATATTAACTATATTACTATTATCTAATATACAGATCTTATCCAAGTATTGTGAGTTGTCCTATCAATGTCCTTTATCTGGCCCAGGATCACAAGTTGTATTCACCAGCTGTATCTTTTTAGTCTTCTTTAATCTGTTATAGTTCCTCAGCCTTTCTTTTTCTTTAATGAACTTGATACTTTTCAAGAATACAGACCGGTTATTCTAAAGAAACAAACTCCATTTGGCTTTGTCTGAAGAGATGATATATCCTCAGTTGCATCATATCATAAGGCGTATGTCAATTTGTATATTACTGATCATGATGACATTATGTGCCTCATATGATGCGCTTAAGGATATATCATCTCTTCTGCAATTTCCAAGGAAAAATGCATCATCTTGAACATGTATTTGTACCCATTCATCAACCTCTCTAACCAGCCAGTGAATTTGTCCACTCTGGCTCAAGGGGAGTTCAAGGAAAGGCATATTACTCAAGCCTGGCAGATAAAGCTTAATGGAAGCACTTTCTCTGTGCCCATCAACACACAAGCAAGTAGCAGTTCTCCGATACTTAGAGGGCAAATGCTATCTAAATGTGACTCTGTATAAAACCTCACATCCCAATAAACCCAAGTCCTTGTTGTACCCTGAATTGAGAAAACAGTTGCTGTCAGCACCCAGCAAAGAAACAGGAACCTAGAGGCTGAGATAAGGTTTTGAGGGCTAGAGTCAGAGTCAAGGAAACAAGGGGGCACTGTGGCAAGCCCAAGGGTTTCTATAACCACTGTTATTCAAAAGGAGGGAACATGTTATCTGTGAATCTCCTTGAAATCAGGTGGGGATGTCAGATTCTAACAAAGTTATGCCAGGGGAAGTGAGAGAAGAATAGATCAATCACATCCCTCTCTTGTCAAATTAATCTTTCAGAGTCAGGGCCAAGAAATAAGCTGTAATTGCACAAAGAAGATTTCAATAACAAATATTCAGGCAGAAGGGGCCCAGCCCGTGGGATGGGCGTCCATACAACACAAAAATCCTGGCATGCCTATCATAATGCTGCTTTCACCCCGACCTCAGCAGATCTTCAGTTCCGCTCAATCCATCAACAAGTCGTTCCAGCTTCAAATATACGTCTTTGAATCCATCTATTCTTCCCCATTTCCACTGTCATTACCTTAGTCAAGCTACCATCATCTCTCACCTGCTGATTTCCCTGCTTGCTTGCATATTATCTATTTTCCAGACAGTGGCTACTCTTTTCAAAACACAGTCCTCTTTTACAACACAGCTTAAGACCATTTGATGGCTCCAAGGACTATGTTATCTGACTCCTGAATCTCTGACCTTACCCAGAGCCACTCTTCCCCTCATGAGGAACGTTCTCACCCCTAGGTCTTTATGGTTCCCTCCGAAACACTCAGATCTCTGAATGGTTAGCTTACTTAGTTCCTTCACTCAATATTCA